ACGTGTGTGGTGATGTGACTTTTGCGTCTCAGAGACGGTCTATTACTTCACTAATAACAAAGGCATATCAGCTTTGGTGATCAAGACAAACAGTGGGCACCCCACATCCGCTGTAATACATGTGCTTCAAGTCTGAGGAGCTGGTTAAATGGCAAAAAACGGTCTATGCGCTTTGCTGTCCCAATGGTTTGGAGAGAGCCTACAAGTCATATTAATGATTGTTACTTTTGCATGGTACCTTGTGTTGGACAAGCCACAGGTATGTCCAAGAAAAAAAAATCGATTATTAACTACCCAAACATACCATCTGCGATGAGACCTGTGCCTCACAGTGACGAAAATCCTATTCCAAAACCCCCAGAATCCTACACTTGCGAATCAGAAAACGAATCAGATCATGGCGATCGAGTGATTCGTCAGGAAAAAGATATGCCATCAACGTGAAGAGATCCTGATTTTATACCGAGCACGTTATGCCACCAACCGCACAAAATAACACAGTCAGAATTAAATGATCTTGTAAGAGATTTAGAACTTCCAAAATGTAAGGCAGAGTTACTTGGATCAAGACTGCAGCAGTGGAACTTGTTAGAAGACGATGTTTCGGTATGTGTTTTTCGTAAACGCCATAAAGACTTAGAACCATTTTTCAATATGGAGAATAACTTGGTTTTCTGCAGTAACATTAACGGCTTACTGGCGGCTTTAAATATAAACTATAACCCAGAAGAATGGAGATTGTTTATAGACAGTTCAACATTGAGTTTAAAGGCAGTGTTATTGCATATTGGAAATATTTTACCATCTCTTCCTGTAGGGTATGCAGTTCACATGAAAGAATCATATGACAATATGAAATACCTATTGACATGCATAAAATACGATGAGCACCAATGGCATATTTGTGGCGATTTGAAAGTTGTTGCACTTTTACTTGGGCTGCAGCTAGGCTACACAAAGTTACATACATTACACCAGACAAAACTGGCCTGTTCGTCAATTCCTAGAGCCAGGTCAAAAAAATGTACAGCATATGGCATTAGTAGATTCGAAAAAAAATTTATTACCACCACTGCATATCAAGTTGGGCCTAATGAAAAACTTTGTCAAGGCATTAGATAGAGATGGGTCAGCTTTTCAATACCTGCGTCAGAAATTTCCAAGACTAAGTGAGGCAAAGGTTAAAGAAGGTATTTTTGTTGGGCCACAGATTCGAAATAATTTTGAAAGTTCAGTTTGAAAACACTTTAACAGGTATTGAAAAAACTGCTTGGAATGATTTCCGTCTGGTGGTCACTAATTTCGTGTAATGGAAAAGCTGACAACTATAAAACCCTTGTCAAAAATATGCTGCCATCGTATCAAAAGATGGGCTGTAATATGTCTCTTAAGATACATTTCCTACACTCACACCTGGACTTTTTTCCTGACAATTGCGGAGCCGTAAGTGATGAGCACGGCGAACGTTTTCATCAGGATATTTCAACAATGGAAAAAAGGTACCAGGGAAAGTGGAATCCTTCCATGCTTGCAGACTACTGTTGGACTCTTGGTAGAGATGCTCCAGAAACGATCCATAAAAGAACAGCAAAAAGACAGCGCATATAGTGATTCTTATAAGTATATGAATCTTGTTACTTTTTTAATATATCCTTAAAAATAAAAAGTTTTTTTTCTAAACCGCAACTAATTTTTTTATTTCATTCTCATTTTTGGATTCAGCGCCCCAAAATTAACAAAGAAGTGCACTTTTCCCACAAGATACAATTAAAAAACTAAAATTTGTTGTCCAGTGATAATCGCCCTTTAAGTTCTGACTCTACATCATTTGCTAGAAGTGTACCTAGTAGAGGTGTAAAGTAGGACTTTATTTTTTGTTCTATATATGTTATTATCACATTATATTACATCTATATATCTGTATGTATATATTATTTTTCTTTACCTTTAATAAAACAGACTACTCTAGATCTTTATTTTTCTAGTTTTTTGTTTATGTGATGTTATCCAAACCACCTGCATTCTGGCATCACGTCGATCTAGATCTTATTTCTCTTTAAACATCTACAACTGTAATTAATGTAATTTGAGAAAGGCAATACAAAATATAATTTAGAGATCAATTGACTTGCCTTAAGGAAAATTGATCGGAATTATATGAGTATTGCCGTTCGAAGAATTACAATCCCACCCTTTCCCTAGCAGATCTAGATATTGTTCTTGAAAAATTGTAATGAATAGTGACGAGTGTTCGGACGGCAGGAAATCGAAGACCCAGTGGAGGAAAGAATTTGCTTTAAAATTCGTGCTTCAGAGCTCACAAAAAATTGCAACTACAAGTGTAATTATTGTAATTCTTCGAACGGCAATACTCATATAATTCCGATCAATTTTCCTTAAGGTAAGTCAATTGATCTCTAAATTATAAATCAGTTCAGCACAACCTGAACCATCTGAGAAAAACTCAGTCAATCAGGTCCATACAATTAGTCCATAGACATTACTTCCCTGTCCTACCGGTAGTGCATCTGGAAACGTCACCTCTCCCCCGTCAAACGTCACAGCGCAGTCTGAACATATGAAACACTATGCTGTGCCGCGGCAAAAATACGTGTAATACCATACCAGAACACTAACCAAGGCCGGCGAGATACCGGGAGCAGCAGCCGCGGCCGGTGGGTTCGCGATCCGTCTGCAGAAAATATTTTAAGGGTACGGTCTATGGTGTGTGAAATATGTCCTAACAGGTGCGTAGAATTACCAAGATTAGGAGCGAATAAATGTACTAACATCAAAAAATTGTGATAAACCCTCCTAACCCCCCGATATCTACCTTTAATATTTTTTCAAAAATAATCAGGATCCCCTGAAACGTCAAAAAACGAAGTTTGGGCGACTATTATTATTTTTCATTTTTGGCCTTTTTCTCTTCTGCCTGTGGACCGATTTTCAAAAACTAGAAAGCTTTTGCGTCCTTAGCATAATAGTAACATTGTCTAATAATTTCACTGAAATCCGAGGGGTACTTCTTAACTTATAGGTGGTTATAAGATTAGCGGACAAACCGACTGAAATGAGTGGCAGTTTTTCGTGGCCAAATAAGAATGAGAGGTGCTGTATCTGGGAACCTATCCATCGTAGAGGCTGGCGGCAAAAACTGTTATTACTAATACGGTCAAGGGAAAAACCTGGAAAATATTTTCAAGTTTCTGAAATAGCCGCTAGGTGGTGTAACTGCAATCTTGAATCTAAACAAGTGATGTTTGTGTGAATTCCGCTATATTAACCTAACACAAAAATACCTGATCTTTAAAGTCGAGGATAATGTGAACTTTTTTGTTTGACAATTTTTGCTGTATCTCTAAAAATAAAGTGCTGGGGGGTATTCAAAGGCTTGCGTAAAAAACGCCCTGTATCTTCCAAACGGCTGAGCCGATTTTAACAAACTTGGGGTAGTTGAAAATAGCTATTCTTGAGCTACAAATGTCATAATATTTGAAGTTTTATTAGTTTTACATGTGGCTGCTAGAGGGCTTTTTCGACATTACGACAGAAATAGTTGATTTTCTCAAAAAAATTATTGGTATGATTTTTTTTTCTGAAAAAAGAAATTGAAATAAATATTCTCTATTTTCGCGTATCATGCCTAACATCCAATGTTAATAATCCAACCTCCGATCAAACTCTTCCTCTTTAAAGGCCTGATGCAAAACGACATGACATGGGTGCATTCTAAAAGTAATTAAAAAAGTTAAAGTCCCTATATTTTGATGGCACTATGGTACTTAGAAATATTTTGAACCGTTGTTCGTGATATGCCCAACTCGAGGAATAATGCCCTTGTGCTAACATGAGGATTTCCTTCAATATATCCCGATAAGCGGTGAATATTTTCTTGTGTTCTTCCAATTATTCTTTACTGTTGAAACGATGGCCGGAAACTACCATAAGCTCGTAAGCTCACCATTAATAGGGGGAAAACTCTCACACGATTTGGATATCGAGTCGCGTAAACTCGTTTTGCTACTGCAACATTCTGAAAACATTCAAAATAAACTACAAGCATATCAACAGCTTCATCGTTCGTAAAACGCATTTGGCAATCACAAAAATTGCTCAAAGTAACGCGAAACTATTGACAACTATTAACAAATTGAGCATTATATTTAGGTATTAGGTATTTGTTATGTTGTATTCCATGACCTGCTTCTATTAATTTTCTTTTTCGTATATACCTATAGTGAATACAAAAAATATGCCTTTTGTCGTTAGCATTACTTACCTTTTCGCGATATTTCGTAATATTTTCAATAAGGGTGATTTTATTCTGATGAATAAAAAAGAATTCCAGAAAAATTAGTTTAAAAAAATGAAAATTTAAGGGATTTCTGTATAAAATTTTCGCCTAAGTTTTACGTTAAGAACAAGATATCAAGATGCGGTTTTCGCGAGCTTGTTTGGACGTCATTCAGCTTCATAAAAAAAAGAATTTAATTTTTTTTTAAAAATCACCATTTCTGTTGGAATGTCGAAGAAAGCCCCCTAGCGGCCACATGTGAAACTAACAAAATACCCAACTTTGCCCCTATTTAAGCGACTTATTATCTTTTACCGTTTCCGAGATTCCAATGATGAAGATCGAATTTGAAACAGCCGGTATAGTAAATGTAATGAAGTCTACCCTAGCCGGCATTTAACTGTTATTATAATAATAGCCTCGTAAAAAAAAATTAGTGTTCAAACTATTCTCGAGAGGTTTCCTTTTGAGATCCATTTTGTGCAAACTGACCCAATATTTTGTCGTTTTAAATATCAATCTGATCGTTATTTTATTTTTATGTAGCTTTATTAAAAATTGATATTTTTAACGGAAGACTGGGGTTCCTGATGAAGGTCGTATGAACAAGTTTTTATCATCCTGGCAGGTCCTCATTCAAGTGTTTTTGTATCGCTTTCGTAGGGAGTTTTTTTTCAAGCAAAGTGACTTATTCGTATTTTAGGAAAGCTGCTTCATCAGTTGGACTATCAAACTTCCTCTGTAAGCCTGTCGACAAACCATCCAATATATCAGAACGAGTATCAGATGAAACTGATTCGGAAGATGTAAACTTCCAGAAAGATGGTGATTATGTAGTTGTTTATACGGACGGAGCATGTGAAAATAATGGTAGGGCAAATGCGAAGGCTGGCATTGGAGTTTGGTTTGGTGATAGCCATCCCTTGTAAGTTCTTTCATTTACATTGTGTGTTATATTCTAATCTACTATACAGGGCAGCCCAACGAAAAGGTCGGATCCCTATTTGTGACTCTCCTGGTATATTTGGGGAAAAAGGCTGGGCCACGTCAGTTTTGATTTCTAGGGGGACGTCTTTTCATCTATAGCCGTACGTTACAGGGTGATAAAAAAATAAGATATTGCGTTACACTTTAAATTTTTAAATAGCAACCCCATTTTTTTTAATTTATTTTAATTTATTCTTCATGAAGTTTTTAGTAACTTTTGTATTAAAGTTTATACCTATCTTCAATCGTTATGAAGCTATTTGAGTTTATAATAAAACTGTAGCAATTGTGTAACAAGACTTTAAAATTAAAAACAAGTCTCCGAGTGTTAACCCTTAACTGGTGACCATGGGTCTGACAGACCCTGCGCGAAATTCAAATTTCTGCCACTCCCGGATTTAACTAGATTTTAGCTTGTCCGCCTAGGTACCCGTCTAATAACTATTTGCAAGTAAGATGTCGTTGTGTGTGCATCGCGGACTTTTACGAGAGAGTTTTCGTACGTTGTCAAACATTTCGCAGGGTCTGTGAGACCCAGCGTCACCATTTACGTGATTTTTGAATAATGGCATCTTCAAGACAAAAAATACATGCAACTGATAAAGATTTCGAAACTATTGCGCAGCGATGGTACGAAGAAGTAAAAAGTGACTTAAGTGATTAGGATGATGATATACAAGATCCCAATTACAATGCCCACGATTCAACTTCAGAAATAGAAAATAATGAAGGTAACAACGATTCTGCTTCGGGAGAGGAACTTGAACCTGAGATGGATAAAATAAATGTTAGGGCGTGTTATGGAAAAGATGCGTGAGATGATCAGTTTGCTTATCATGTGTGGAAAAATGTGTTGAATGTGCCAAGGAGTAACATTTTACTTTTTTATTTACCTCAAGTTCAGGCGATGTAGTTTTCTAGTAGTTATTTCATCAATTCCATATATTATAGTGTCTTGAAAAAAATTGTTTAAAAAATTTAATAAACTATGTTGTTCGACAAATATGTGGACTTTTATTTAGTATTCCTAATTTATGTTTGATAAATACAGATAACCTTCAAAATTATTTATAAAACATTGTTATTTGCCTCAAAATATATTAGAGAATTAGACAATATATAAAATTAAACAATATCTAAAATACATACAAGAATACAAAAAAAAATAATATGTGGGTCTAAGAGACCCACCGTCACCTCTAACGTTACCCGAATGGCACGTCACCAGTTAAGGGTTAAAAATCAAAAAAAAAACCTACAGTTTACGCGCCCATTAAAGTTAAAGTAAAAATTAATTTGCTATATAGAGATAGGTCAATGTGGTAATAAGTGCTGAAAGTGGTCTCCATTTACCTCTACGCCATAATAAAGATTTTGTTCGAATCTATTCCTTACATTTTCAAGCATGTCTTGAGTTATCTGTCTACATTCAGCCGTAATCCGCTGACGAAGATCTTGAATGGAATCTGGCTCCGTACTAAAAACTTAACTTTTCAAATGCCTCCAAAGAAAGTAATCTAAAGGATTTAGGTCCGGAGGTCTCGGTGGCCACTCGATCCACTGATTCGGGAAACGGGTGTCCAGAAACTGAGCACCATCTTGTTGGAAATGAATGTAATTTCCATTATAATTGAAGTAGTTTTCTATTATTGTATTTTCCAACATGTCCAATTACGTCTCGCCCGTCAAGTTTTCAGGATTCAAGAAAGGTCTTACAATATGATTTCTGAAAATTCCGGGCCACACATTTATTTTTTTCGGGATATTGCGAGTGTACCTCTCGAAACAAATGTGGATTCGAGTCACTCCAATATCGACAATTATGTCTATTTACAGCACCATGTAATTAGAACGTACATTCATCCGAGGAACAAATAGTAAATAACAGATTTGCATTGTTGATTAAACGTTGGGACATTAATTCGCAAAACTCCAACCTATCAAAATCGTCTTCATTCGGCTCATGGACAAGTTTTATCTTGTACGGGTGAAATTTATTGATCAGTTACTTCAAATTTTCTTATCAACTTAGCCACATACTTATCGTTAATATTTTTGTTTGGATGTAATGCATTAAACAACCGAACGGTAGCTCTTGCAGTGGCTCCATTTTGGTAACACAGTTTTCTTATTTCCACCCCTTCTTGAATTGAATAAGTCATTGTTCAATATTTATCACAACTAGGTAGGTAGCTTGACAAATTGAAATGAAAGACAAAGGTTTTCTATCATGTACGATGTCAATGATATTCCGTTATTATCAGTATTAAGTTAGTCGAATTTTATTATGAACTCAAATAGCTTCACAACGATTGAAGATAGGTATAAACTTTAATATACAAAAGTTACTAAAAAGTTCATAGATGAAAAGGGGTCCCCTTAGAAATCAAAATTAACGTAACCGACCGTTTTTCCCAAAATATACCAGGTGAGTCACAAATGGGGGCGCGACCTTTTCGTTGGGACACCATGTATAAAATACCAGACAAAAAGCATATGGGATTTCAAACACCGGTCAATTTTAATGGAAATTCGTATAGTGACTGTTCCTGTTGTGCTAATCAATGGTTCCAATGGGTGCAAAGCCGAGAAATGCTTATTATTGGGAATACAGGGTGTCAAAGATTGATGCCTTAGCCCCTGTGGTTACGCCTGCCTGCTGCATTTTACGGAAACACGTGAATACATACAACATTTCCAACGATTTGACATCCGATTGTGAACTCCTTCAACGCGCAAAAGACTAATTTCAGGCTGTTTCAAATTTGATTCTGCTAGAACACATTTTTCTGTCAAACTACGATTGAGTTGACAGTGCTAGTCGTATTATCTGGGGATCGACGAATAATAACCATCTAAATTCTTTACGAATAATACAAAAACTATTCATAAAAACAATTCATGACAAATCTTTATTATATCCCTCGATGTTTATAGAATCAAAACTTTTGGCTATATAAAATTATTTTGGTATAATGTTATATTAGAATTCCGTAAAAACAAACATTCGACCATTTAGAAAAATTATGAATATGATACTAGAGATAAAAATAAACAAATAATTACTGCAACACCAAAAAAGGAAATAATGTTGAAATATTTTATATACTTAGGTCCAAAATTATATCATAACTTACCAAAATATATTAGTAAAAAACCAAATACATATCATTATTAAAAAGGGATTTATAAGAGAGGCTATTGAATACTGATATAAACATGATGTAGTTTATAAAAAACTAACATACAAATATTTATTCTTCATTGCAAATCTACGATACAAAATTAATGTATTGCATTTTGGATTGTGGAGATTCTTTTAGACCAATCAAGTTATTGTAACTACTATGTTTTCTGGCATATCATTAATTTATTCACAATTTGTAATTGATGTGAATGAAGTATACTAAGTGACATATAAATCCGAACACCCAGTTTAAATGGTTTTATTTTAATAAAAGTTGGTGAATGTATTTATCTTACTGTAAATAACAAGTGAAAAAATTTTCAGCCTTATCAGTTGGACATTCCGGTTTTTATACTGCTTTTTTTTAATTCACTAACGCTCTAAAAATGAATATTTCAGCCGCAGTAAAGAATCAACGTTGGCGGATTTTGGTTCTTGACATCCTTTACGATCGGTTACGATGCCTAGAGTACGGAGACCTGTAAGATTTCGTCAACTTAGTGAGTTTGATAGGGGCCGTATAGTGGGACTTCGGGAAGCTGGACTTTCTTTTCGGGCAATTGCAGTTAGAGTGCAAAGAAGTGTAGACACTGTGGTTAGGTGTTGTCAGGCATGGCTTCGAGAATGCCGTACGCAAAGAGCAAGGGGCACTGGACGCCGCCGTAGAACAACAGACCGTGAAGATCGCCGCCTAAGATTATTGGCCTTAAGGGACCGTTTCTCCACTACCAGGTCCATTGCAAATGAATGGTTTGCAGAACACGGAAGACCTATTGGCATGCGAAGTGTTTACCGACGAATGAGAAGTTTTGGCTTGTTTTCATACCGGCCACACTGGGTCTTCCCTTTAACTCGAGAACACCGACGTAATCGCCTTGAGTGGTGCAGACAACGGTCACTCTGGGATCAGGAATGGAACAGTATTGTCTTTAGTGACGAGTCTCGATTTTGTTTAGGCATGCACGATGGTCGTGCCAGGGTTAGAAGGCGACGTGGTGAAAGGAGGAATCCACAGTTTTTTGTTGAAAGACATGTTCATCACACTGTTGGAGTTATGGTTTGGGATGCTATAGCTTATGGTTCCAGGTCACCTTTAATCTTCATCAGAGGTAACATGAACGCGCAGCGTTATATCCACGAAGTTCAGAACCCCATCTTTTACCCTATCTTGACACCCTGGCAGATCCAACTTTCCAACAAGATAATGCCCGACCACATGTTGCAAGAGTCACAATAGACTTCTTTCAACATAATGATGTCACATTGTTACCATGGCCACCAAGATCTCCCGACTTATCCCCAATTGAGGTCAAAGGGCTTTAAAGCAGTGCAATCATTTTGAAATTTTTATCATTTACTTATTATGCTTCATTAAGTACTTATACAAAATTTTATTAAAATAAAACCATTTAAACTGGGTGTTCAGATTTATATGTCACTTAGTATATTATTATTATTATTATTATTTTATTCCTGTCCGGAATAAAAATTAATTCCTGCTAACTTTTCCAATCGAAGGATCTAATGAATTCCCTTTCAATACTCGTATACAATGATGTTTGGATACTGCAAATATGATTCTAAAAGGCGTCTGTTTTTTTTTTTAGAAATATATCTGAACCTGTCGTGGGCAGGCCCACAAACAATACTGCCGAAATTCGAGCCTGCTTAGCTGCCTTGGAAGTACTGCATCGTTATAGTATGTATTTTTTTTAAGAAATATTTCATATTATGCAGTGTGTCCTCAAAGTTGATGCTTTCCTTTACAGAGCGTATGTGTCAAACAATAATAAGCATGTCTTTTTAGAAGCATGTATTAGGTTCCAAACAGCAATAAATGAATCAGTACGACCCTGTCCCACAATTCCCTCCCAAGACAAAAAGTATGTCCTAAAAGTTTTGGCGCAAAATTCATTGGCTTTAATTTTAACAAACACAAAATAATATCAAGTTGCCTTTGGAAACAAAAGTTTTTTACTTACTTTACCGTCAGTTGACATTTATTTATTTTGACGTGTTCGCTTGAAGATGTATAAATTAGAAATAAGAAAAAGTGTCTACACTTTGGTTAGACGGGTACCCAAAGCTGAAATCTGTCTGAGGTCATATTGGTGAGAAGAGCAAAAAATCAGGTTGGAATGTCAACGAGACTGACTGGTCAATACAGATCTTCTAAGAGTATGATATCGTTGGAATTGAGGAGGAATAGACTTAAATATCCAAGGGAGAGTTAAGTGCCCCAAATACTCTCAAGTGCAACTTCTTCGTATACCAAGATGCTGAGGTCAACTGAGGCGGATACACTTTGCCAATGGAAAAATCATTATTTTAGAAGACGTATTTCACTTTGAGTAATTCTGAAACGAAGGGAAGCGACGGATTTTATGCGAACAACATAGAGGAATGCCCTGAAAATGTTAGATACAAACATAAAGCGAAATTTGCAGATAACATCGTTGTCTGATGCGCAATTTCTAACAGGGGTGTATCCCAACCTTTTGTAAGAAGAGTGAGGGGTGAAGCTTTGAATAGTCGGAGATATATCGATAACTGCCTTTCCAAATTGCTTCAGTTTGTCCACGAAGATCATGCTAGTGACCGTATCATGTTTTGGCCAGACCTAGCATCATGGTGTTACTCAAGAGATACCAAAACTAGCTTCGTCAACACAACATTCCTTTTGTTCCCAAAAACGATAATCCTCCAAACTTGTCGCAGGTTCGCCCAAAAGAGGATTTTTGGGCTGTACTGTGTAGGAAGGATTATCATGGGGGCTGGGAAACCCAAGATGAAGAACAATTAAGACGGCGAAGGGATGGCCCGCTGGTAAGGTGTGTCATTCATGCAAATCAGTTTGCATACCAAGCTGGAAAATCGACTGATCTGGCCTTACACAATCTGGTCGGTAGGCTGGAGAAGACTCTAGATCAGCGGGAAGTGGCACTCGTGGCCTTCTTGGACATCGAAGGTGCATTTAATTGCACCACAACCGACTCTATCAGACAGGCCTTGGTTAGACACGGGGTTGGATCAATCCTAATAGATTGGTTCCTCTCTACTCTGGAGGGTCGGGTAACAACAGCTATGCTGAATAACGTAAGCTGCAGCGTGAACGTAGCTAGAGGCTGCCCTCAGGGCGGAATTCTGTCACCCCTACTGTGGTGTATCGTGGTGAACGAACTCCTCGTTAGGCTCAGCAGTATGGGTGTCTACGCGCAAGCCTATGCTGATGACGTAAGCATAGTAGTTAGGGGGCGTTTCTGTAGAACAGTCTCGGAAATTATGCAGGGCGTTCTGATCTCCGTGGAATCGTGGTGTAGGGAAGTCGATCTTTCTGTTAATGCTGAAAAGACCGAGCTGATCCTATTCACTAGGAGAAGAAGGCTTGACGGACTGGTCATGCCGACCTTCTTTGGGACTAGATTAGTTTTGTCCCAGTCAGTGAAATATCTGGGAATTATCTTGGATTGCAAACTGAACTGGAGAGAGCATGTGGAACACAAGGCTCGCAATTCGATGTGGGCTTGTAGACGTGTTGTCGGTGTAAGGTGGGGGCTTAAACCCAAAGTGGTATACTGGCTCTACACGACGATAGTACGTCCATCTCTCTTGTACGGCTCCCTGGTCTGGTGGCCTTGCATTAGAACTGAGTCAACTAAGGCCAAACTCAATAAAATTCAGCGTTTGGCTTGTATTAGCATTACAAGCGCAGTGCGAACAACGCCATTGAGTGCAATGGAAGCTCTGTTGGATCTCCCACCGTTGGATCTGGTGATCCGCGGTGAAGCGAGAGTAGTCGCTCATCGACTGTGGAGTCAGGGCAGCTGGGCTTTCTTGAATCCGGTCAAGGGGCATACTGCCATCTTAGTCGAATTAGAAAGGGAGGACCTCGTCCTTCTAAGCAGGGGTGATCGTATTACCCCTAAATATCGCTTCAACCGCAAGTTTATTGTGGAGTATCCAACGAGGGAGGAGTGGGACGCCGGTAGCCGGGGATTCTCCGAAGTGAGCGGGCAGGTCTGGTACACGGACGGCTCGGTCACCGAAGAGGGCTCAGGTGCTGGGGTCTCTGGGCCTAGAACTAGGCTATCTCTGCCTCTCGGTGGATACACCACCATTTTCCAGGCGGAAATCTTTGCGATTCTGGCTTGTGTATCTCACATTCTGGAGGAGGGTGGGCCTAGGAGAAGAATAACAATCTTATCCGACAGCCAGGCTGCAATGAAAGCACTAAGTGCCTGTAAGATTACTTCGAGTCTTGTATTGCAATGCAGGGAGGCTCTGGATTGCCTCGCAGCGAGGCATCCGGTATCGTTAATATGGGTACCGGGGCACGCTGGGATAAGGGGCAATGAGACGGCGGACACTCTGGCGAAAACAGGATCAGCCAGCAAGCTCGTTGGTCCTGAGCCAGCTCTAGGAGTAACCGCGCATAAAGCTAGGAGGAAAATGGAGACGTGGGTTGCAAGACAACACTCTCAGAAATGGAGAAATATCTCTAGACATCTCCGCCAGGCACGAGAGCTCATTGAAGGGCCCAGTGCTAAGGATGGACGCTTCTGCCTATCTCTGGGCAGAGCCAACCTAAGGTTGCTGGTGGGACTGTTGTCTGGCCATAACACGTTAAGGCGTCACCTGCACGTAATGGGGGTGGCTGAGGATCCCTTGTGCGAACGCTGCGGAGTAGAGGAAGAGACCTCGGCGCACGTTTTGTGTCGCTGTGAAGCTCTGAGCTACTATAGGCAGACTATACTGGGGTCCATTACTTTGGACCCTCAGGACGTCAAGGAGCTTGGACTCAAGGCGATTCTCAACTTCGCTAAAAGGGCGAGGCTTGTGATTTAAGTATTGTAGAGGTGCATAAGGGCCCGCTTAAGCTCCTTATGGTGGCCGGGATGCCTCTAATTTTAAGATTAATTCATTCATTCATTCAAGACGGCGAATGTACGATAAACTGAGAGAAATTCATCTGAATTCCGTCCAGGACCTCAAGAGAGACATTCGAAGAAAGTTGCGTCTGGTAGAGCAGAATAGGTCACTCCACATAATTTTATAATATAATTTAGTTAAGTATTGAGCTGAAATTTATGATAACTCGTTAGTCCTTAAATTTCTTCACAAAAAAAAACCGATGAATATTTTGTGTCAAAACTCTTAGGACATACGTTAGGACTATGTAAATCAGTATCGAAACCTGACGTCGCGTGGTGTCTAGGTTAACCTAGTTTATAAACAAACCATTTGAAAACCGAAATTGGCACATTCCTAGTGCAATAACGTAGTTATCGATGATACAGATATGAGCATCATCAAAGTCCTATTGATACTCCGCGAGTGTACTCAAAACGTCGCCGTCGTCCTCGATGTTTCTTTCCATCAGTGCTGCATATCTTTGTTTATACTGAATAGTGAGTATTTTTCGGTTTCTTTTTTATGTTTTCCATGTTGTTTTGTTGCAAATTAACGTTGGTATTGTAAACGTAGCTGACTCTTAAAAGGAAAGTACCGACTTTCAGGACATCCTGTATTACCGTATTTGTATTCTTGTACATAAATAGGGTTGGTTTGCTAGCCTTAACGCGAGCTATTCCAGTAACTTTGTTTAAGATTTATTTAGCATGACTTCTACAATTACATTCTTTTAAAAAACTACAACAATTACATAACATACAGATATTTAGAAAAACAGTATCTCTAACAATTTTCACTGTCCATGAAATATTCCTTCAATTTTCTTTTAAACATCTTTAAATTACAAGTACAGTTACATGATTTAGTTTATTAAATTCATTAGTGACTGTTACACCCAGAAAAAATAATTGTATTATAAACTATTTTTTTGGAATATGCACTAAAATTATGAGAATCCCTATAAAAGTAATTTGTTTTTTGGCAATTTTTAAAAAAATGTATTCATAGTGATCCTCAAATTTTATTTTACTATCAATGTATACTCAGTGACATTAGAAAGAAAAAATTTCTTTAACTTGTTTTTTGGCAACATAATGACTATATTTGAGGCATGATATGAAAACATTGTCAAGGTTTTATCTTTGTTTTTGTTTACCTTTGTTAAAATGTTCTCTTAGTTTTTGTAAAGAAAGCAGTTTCTGAGAGCTGAGTAGTACAGATATTTTTAGTCATTGCCCTCTCATTTATTAGTGTTAAGCATATCAAAATACCTCGAGTTCAAAGACGTCCAAATTATCACCATGTTAGCGACTTTGACACTATCGAGATGTTGGTTTGTCCTATCGCGAAATTGGCCGCCGTGTTAATTGTACAGCAATGACGGTAATGCGTGTGTGTCGTGTGTTGATAGAATAAAGAGCACGAAGAAGGCCAACTGATCTACCGAGGCGTAGAGCTTCAAAATAGGTTCTTTAGGCAACTAGCCCTACGAGACCGTTTTGCTTCTACGCGTCAGTTCGCTGAATGAATTGGAGAAGAAGCCTTTGGACTTTTTTCATATAGTCGACGGTTAGTGCTTCCTCTGACTGTGGACCACTGTCGTCAACGTTTGAACTGCAGCAGAGAATGGCAACATTGTGAGGCAGAATGGCATAATGTCATCTTCAGCTACGAATCGCGATTCTCCCTAGGTACGCACGATGGTCGTAGAAGGGTAAGACGCCGCCATGGAGAACGGCGTGATATTGGATTTGCTGTTGAGAGGCATATACACAGGATTGTTGGAGTAATGGTTTGGGGGGCTATTGTCTATGGTAGCCGATCACATGAGGGGCCACAACCAGACATCGATCATCTCATTTTGTCGATGTCTAGACTTATATAGGAGTATATTCAGCTGCGGGATCGCCCAACACATCATTAATTTTTTTCTAATGCTTGTCAATAAAATTTCGTGTGAATGTTATTGTTTCATTTTTGCTGTAAGACTACCTTATTGCCAAAACAATAAAGTTGAAGAAATTAGTTTTTTCTGGGTGTAATACTTCTGTCACCGAGTATATGTTTAATAGTAGGTAATTGATCTGTAAATGTTTTACTATACTTTTGTAAAGTAGATATTATTGAGCAAACTAATAATAATTCAATAGATATGGTATATGGATTTGCTGATGAAAATTGCGTATATGTTCATTAACAGAAAATAGAAATAGAAAAAATAAGAAGGATTAAAAAGAAATCTGATATTGATTCTATTTTTTATAAACGACTTCTTTTTTTCTAGGAATTAAGAAAGTTAGCCTGCATACAGATTCTATGTTCATAATAAACTCCATGACATTATGGATCCATAATTGGAAAGCAAATGGATGGAAGACCTCAAAAGGGGATGCTGTTAAGAATAAAACAGACTTTATGAAGCTAGATGAAATTATAAAACGCTTCGATGATCTAAGATGGGTGAGAATATATTTTTCAATAACATATGGGGTGTCCCGCGCAGCAATCGATTACTCGAAATTGTCATAAGGCAATTATGAAAATTTTGGATTACAGTATAACTGGGTAAAATATTTTCAAAATAGTCGCACTTCCGGTTGTACCGCCAACTTGCTTATTTTCAATAGAGCATGTATATTGTTCAATTTTTGGATTCTATGTGAGATTCTGAATACATTTCACGCCAAAATACAAAGTTTTGCAATGTGACTTAACAAACGGACGCAGGAGGCTGCATGTTACTGCATGTTGAGACATGTCTATGTGTGCATAGTAGCCGCCAGCAGCACGTCTGTTGATTTGGTTTTCATTCGTATTGACAGTGCAAAGAGCGGACTATGGCATCGTGGTCACGTTGTGAGATGAGGGCAGTTTGACGGTATAACTTTACCGGTGGTTTAAGCATAGACCAGTGCTTAGAAGAAATTAGGCTTGCATTAAAAAACGATTGTCCTCATCGTACGACTATATTCAGGTGGTACAGAGAGTTCCAAAGGGATAATTTCACTCTGGAGGACGTTGAGAGGGAAGGAAGGCCGCGAACGTCAGTAACAGAGGAAAACATTACTGCTGTGAGGAAAATACTTGACGAAGACCGGAGAGTGACATACCAACAGGTAGAAGAGACCTTACACCTTCATGCACCAGCAATTCATTTAATTCTACATGACCATTTACACGTAAGGAAACTTGGCTCTATTATTACGATGTGCCGTCCAAGGCTCAAAACAAAGTTGGGGTCTTTGATGATGAGGACACACCCGTAGCTGTCAGAAAATCCCGGTCTATTAAGAAAAAAATGATAGCTGTATTTATCAAATCGAGTGGGATTGTGGAGCGTGTCGTTTTGAACACACAGAAGACAGTCACAGCTAAGTGGTACACGAAACATTGCCTGAATAAAGTCATCAAAGTGTGCCGCACTCCCGGGTGAAACTTGGCAGAGCTGGTTTAAGGACTGGTTTTGGCGGATGGAGAAATGTGAATGTGGTGGAAATTACTTTGAACGAAGTCAATAAATGAAGCTGTATTCCAAAACTTTTATAGTACGCATTGTGTAGTTGTTTTTGAGATTTTTTATACTTTACGTCAGTAAGCCAAAAAATTATATATATTTTTTTGTTTTTGTCTTTGCTATTCGATTTGTAACAGTTTTCTTTAGTAAGGGACCAGCGTAGATTGTATTCCAGATGTGGATAACAGTATAGGGTGGTCAAAAAGAGAGAATGAGATTTAGAATTCTGGATAGCCTAAAATAATTGGAAAGCAAAGGAATTGAATACTGCAAAAGGGGATGATAATGAGAATAAGACAGACTTCATTAAACTAGATGAAATTATAAAAAGCTTCGAATATCTAAGATTAAGCATTGAAAATGAGGTTGATTTTGTATAAGGCTGCATCTCTCCCAAATTAATAGTTTTGAGGATATACAGGGTGTTTAAAATGTGACACTCACCCATAGGATCTCGGTAACGGTAAGAAATGCGAAGTCGCTTAGGTGACTAACAAAATACCGCTTGGAAACCTTCGAAATTCCGCAGACAGAATAAAAAATAAATTGCACATTAATATTGCTACTTTTTCTCCTCTACAAGTTGACATAGCCAGAATTTCAATATGATGTTTCGTCTCTTGTCCTCCAGCATCAACTTTATTTTTTCTTATAGACGCCATATTGGATTTTTGCGCATTTGAATAGAGTTTTTAATACTGATTTCAAAAATATATATGTCATTCACGACTTTGCCAAACCTATGTTGAAAAAGTGGCGAAAACATGAAATTTATTTTGAATGTATTCAGAATAAAGGTTGAATGTAGACAAATAACATGCTTGAGGATGTGAGGAATAGATTCGAACAAAATCTTTATTATTGCAAAGAGACCATAGCAAATTAGTTTTTACTTTAACTTTAATGTGCGTGCGTGTAAACTGTAAGTTTTTTTTTTGTTTTTTAATACTCGGAGACTCGTTTTTAATTTTAAAGTCTTGTTAGTATTGGAACACTATTGATTATTATTTTTACGATATAATCCCTTATTATCACAATTTCTACAATTTTATTATAAAAAATCTAAAGTGTAACGCAATATCTTATTTTTGGATCACCCTGTATTGTACGGCTATAGATAAAAAGACGTCCCCCTAGAAATCAAAATTGACGTGTCCAAGCGTTTTTCCCTAAATATACCAGGAGAGGCACAAATAGGGGTGCGGCCTTTTTGTTGGGCCTCCCTGTATGTTTGTGTTTGTATGTTAAAGCAGGAAACAATAGTTTGTATCAGTGTTGCGTGATAATCTGTATGAGACCATTTTTTGTAGGTTCACGTGAAAGGACACCACGGGGTACGGGGAAATGAAGAAGCTGACAAACTTGCAAGGAATGGAGCAGCACGGTATAAGCCATAATAGTTATATAAAAGAAGTGAAAATACATTTTGTTTACCGTATATGCATCTTTCTTTCCATTGCTATAAAGATCCTTTCTTTTGAGGCAAGCAGCGGTTGCCTCCTGCAAAAATAGCGATACTCGAGCGATAACTAAAGGCCGTCTGTCACGATACGAAATTTTGTGCTAAATTTAGTACGCTAAATTTTGTAAAAAATTAAGGATATTGTCAGACATCATTTAGTACATAATTTTGTATGGACAAATTTGTTCCCCAGGGAGCGGTCTTGGCTCCGACGCTTCTTCTTACATGTCAACGACCTCCTTTTCTGCACGATCAACCCAATCCACAGCTTCGCTGATGACAGCACTCTATATGCAGGAATTCATAGTGACAAGCCGATCTCTGCCGCTGAGCTGGAAAAAAGAATAGCGACGACTTCCTTTCTGACAGAGACCTATCACTGCTTGGGGGCGCAACAATCTTGTACAATGTAATGCTTCCAAAACAGTACTGTACTTTGATGAACCAAAAGAGTCCTAGCGCTCATCCGGTTTCGATGGATTGCCGAATTCTGCCAAAGAGCCATTCATTTCGACTGGTCGGAGTCCAGATCACCGAGGACCTGATCTGGCACGAACACACATCTCGTCAATAGCTGCAGCTGCTGGGAAAAAGCTAGGCTATTTGTTTAGGGCTAAGAAGTACTTTTCTCCGCGTGTCCTTCTCACTCTATACAAGGCCTAGATAAGGCCTAGCCTCGAGTATTGCTTACACGTTTGGGGTGCTGTCGACCCGACTACTTTATCTATGCTCGATACTGTCCTGAGGAGGGCGGTCCGACTGCTCGATGACTCTTCTCTAACAGAAAGTCTTGGGACTCTTTCGCACCGGCGGGACGTCGGCGATCTATCTCTTTTCTACCGCTACACCAACGGGCTTTGCTCCTCGGAACTCTCTTCCATGATGCCGCCGCGCGATGTGCCTCCCAGACAGACCCGCCTGACTTTGGCGTCCCATCCTAACCTTGTCGAACTTCGTACATCCAGAACTGGCCGATACGACCGCTTCTTTGTCGCGAGGGTGTCGAGATTGTGAAACGATCTACAAGAGAAAGCTTTTCCCAGTTCTACAAACCTTAGGCAGTTCAAAAATCGTATTAACGTAATTTCTTTGGGATCATCATAGCAGCCGCGGTATTCCGGCTTTAGGCTTCTGCCTGCTACTATAAAAAAAAGAAAGAATGTTCGACAATTCTCTGGAGTAACCAACTGTTAACACGTGGTTGAAAAGGTTTCGGGAACGCCGAGAAGACCGTCGGTTGATAGTTAGAATGATACCTGAGGAACTGCCAATCCTCAAAACAATCGTCCACGAAATTCTGACAGAAAAACTTGAAATGAATAAATTGTGCGCGAAAATCGTTCCGAAGCTCTTGACACCAGAACAGAAAGCAAGGAGGGTAGGTGGATCCTTCATCACGATCACGAGCCTGCTCACACGTCTCTCGTTGTGCGTGGCAGAACACCCGCCCTTATTCACTTGCGACTTCTTCTCAAAGTGCAAAATGATGCTTCGCGGGCGGCACTTGGGGATGTGGAAGCCATCAAGGCTGAAACGATACGGCAAAAGAATAGTCTCAACAGTGGAAACGGCGTTGGCAGAAGTGCATCTTGTCTCGGGGAATACTTGGAAGGAGACCATATTGAAATACCGAAATTGTATAATAAAGTTATTATTCCAGTTTTTCTAATCGTTTAAACTAATAAAGTATCAAGCCGCAACGAAAAGTGTGGTTAGCATGACTTTGGCAGTTCGAAGTTGTCACTTATAGTTTTTTTTACCGACTGTGCATGATTTCGCACGAAATTCACTACAAAAATTTCTCCATATGACAGACAACATTGTAATTTCTCAACAAATTGGAAACTAAATTCAGTAACGCATTTTCTCACAATAGTTGGTACCAAATTATGAACAAGATTTTGTATCGTGACAAACGGCCTTAAGACGGGCCCCACATTCCTATATTGAAACAAAAATGCTTCATAAATCGCCTGGTTTAGCTACAAAAACCTATTTTTTCATTTATGACCGAACTCAAAAGTTGACGCAAATCCCATCAATCAAATATACAGGATACAGGAATCAAACCTGATACAATAGATTGACATGACGCCATTACTGAGTTTTTTATTGAAAACAACAATGTCTCCCCGTATGCACGGATGTCAACGTGGTCGTGTAGTCGTTCTACTGTCCACTAGAGTACGCGACATTTTCCTACACAACAGTAAGTAAATTAATTATTTACTCGATGTCTGTTGTCGAGTAACCATTCTGTAAGTTTATTTGTCCTCCAAGAATTTTGTACAGCAACGTGTGGTCCTTCCCAATGTCCCTGAAGCTTCGGATACCTACCTTTCCTTCGTCGTGGATTGTAGAACCACACCAAACATCCTTCGACAAATTTTAGGCCAGTAGCTTTCAGATCGTACCTGGCCTTCATTCTGCCATCGGCACATTGGATATTGCGTCTCCAATATCGGACATTTTGTTTCATCGACTATATTGCTTATACAAGGTGTCCGCAAAGTTGGGGTTTTCCTTTTCAGAAACAACTACCGTTGAAATAACAAAGGTAATGTGTAGTGAAACGAGGGCGACCAAGTAAAAAAAAATAAAGGAAAAAGTACTCACTCTCCAGTTGACGAGAAGGGCCAAGTACGTCTCTGCCCGAAAGCATACCGCTCCAACAGAAAATGAAATCAGCTGATGCGCTACCGAGCAGACGCCGGCGGTGGTTCAGGCCACGAACAGAGGTAACAAATATGACCATCGTGCAGAAACCACATTGATTGTCTTACACTTAATGGCACATCTTCTAACAAGGAAGGCAAAATGTTGCGGTATTGCATCCCGTCCAATCGATTTGGGAGAATAAATGGTCCAATGAGCATACCGTTCACCATGCCAGCCCAAACATTCAAGGAAAATGTTTGTTGAAAATGTGCCCGACGGACAGCGTGCGGATTTTCTACTGACCAAACATGAGAGTTGCGAAATTTATTCACCCCATTACGCGTGAACGTAGATTCGTCTGTCACCAATATGCACTTCAAAAAGTCCGGATTATTGTCATGTTGATGCAACAACCACTCACAAAACCGCACTCTTGCTGGAAAATCGTCAGGCTGAAGGGCTTGTACACGTTGGACGTGAAACGGATACAGCCCCTCTTCACGCAGCGTTTGCCACACTTTAGTTTTTGATACTTGCACTTCTCTAGCCACGTCTCTAGTGCTTGTTGTTTTTTGAAACGCAATCGATTATTCGGGTTCGTTTACCTCTACACGCGTGACCGTAACCGTCGGTTGAAGGTTGCATACTGACCTGACACACTGACCCCGACCCAGTTCTGTCGTCGGGTTGAGCTAGTGTCGTAGTACCTCGCGGGGATGTCGCGGCTACAGGACGGTATTCAGATATTTTTAATGTTGCAGAGCCCTTTATCTCGGTTCCCTTAAGACATTGGTGTATATAGTACTAAGAAAAATTGCTTATGTTTTCAAGATCTACACGTCGTGTAAAGGAAAACCCCAACTTTGCGGACACCCTGTATTTGGCTTTTTCTTTAAATGGACAGTGGCACATTGAACGTTAAAACTTGTAAGCGAAAGCATTTCTTGTTGCAACATCAACAAATCTTTAATTACGGTAATTATAGTAGAGTTCTGTGATAGTCTCGCGTGAGTTTTCCTAAATAACATACATTTTCAATTTAAATTATGAATTTATTATATTTATTTAATCTCTTATTCATACGGACATAACCCAAAGGGTTTTTTCACTATCAATGATTATTAAAACAAATATATAAATATTGGTCTATAATAATAATAATAATTTATTCGTGGTAAATACATAGATGTGCTTACACATGAAAAGGCATTGGATATATTTGAAAATAGGATATGTGTACTATACGTATATATACTGAATGACATAGACAATGCAACACCGACTAGGAGTGCTGTAATTTCGAGCATACTTTTACAGGTTTTAGGTCTACTGATAAATAGAAAGTGGCTAAAATTTTAACTCGATACTAATAGCTGAGATATTCCACCTTAATGTTAATAATGTATTTGATGCACCTTTGATCGCTACACATTCGTTAAGTCGTCGCGGCATTGATTGGATTTGAATTTGGTTTCGTAGAGCATCCAATGCTTGTGGAGGGTGCGGTGAATTTTGCAACCTTCTTTCCATCATGTCCGATACATGTTCGATGGGGGAAAGGTCTGGAAACCGAGGAGGCACTGAAGCAGATTTACTCCGGACGTCTAAACTAACGCGTGCGACATTAGGTCATGCATTGTCCTGCTGAAAAAGTGGATCTTGCAAAGTTTAAAAATAGGGAAGCAGATGTGCTTGTAAAGCTTCGTGGATATAGCGCTAGGCAGTCATGCTATCTCGAATGAACACTAATCGTGACCTGCTGCCGTAAGCAAGGACACCACATACCGTAACACCCACGGTGCGATGAATATGCCGTTTGATTGAATACTGGCCATCATGTGTGCCGCAATAGAATCTGGACTAATCGCTGCACACGACTGAGTTCCATTCGATATTCCATTCATGTCTCTCCCTACTCCATACCAATCGTTGCCGACGATGCTGTGGGGTCAGAGGTAACACAAGATGAAAACAGTCCAAAAGACCTTATTTGACGAAAAACTGTCCTCATTGTTATTGCCTTTCCGACAGCATCAAACCTCTGGATCGCAACTGACCTTGTGGAAAATCGATCTCTAAATGCTAGTTGCCTCAAATAACGATTCTGTACTCTGTCTTTGACATCCAGTACCTCTAACTCATCGATTTTGGCCTTCTTGGAACCACGTTCGATGACATCTCATTACGGTTGCTTCGTTTCGATTCACCCGATTAGCGATTTCTCTAAAAGAAAATCCGGCTTCACGTAACCCGATATCCGACCCATCTCAAACTCGGAAAGTTGAGCGAAATCAGCAGTCTGCCAACCCCAAGGCATGATAATGCAATGAACCAAAAGGAAGCAACACAGAAAAATAACTGAATATTAAGTAAACATGTTCATATTCTTGGCATCCTGATATGACGGAAAAGCCTTTACAAATGAGTACGGCTTGGAATGCCTTCAACATTTTATCAGCGTATACTTCCATGACAGCAAATATGTTTACACGTTTTCATCAAAATTCAATATATAATTGTGGGTGTTGCATTTTATATGCCATATAGTATATTTTTTTAAATAAACAATATTATTACTAAAATATAATTATATGCAATAATAATCTACAATACGTTACCATTAATTGCATACAATTTAAGTATCATAGCAAGTGTTCATCCAGTGGTGTGTGTTTTGGTAGCTAAGCAGGCAGTACCTATCCAGTGTTGCCATTTATAGTCACTTCGATGGTGCAGATTTGTGTAATAGTTTTAACATCCTGTATTCAATATGAATTACCAGAAAAGTAAGTTGTTACCCTTTCAATTTTATATACTGTACGTACCATGACAATATGTATAGAAATAAAACACTTAAGATTCAAAAGAAAATTATAATTAATATGATAAAAATATTTACAATATGCGAAATAATGGATTATTAAATATAATTTCATTTTCAAGCAAGCCAATAGATACCACCCAATAAATATCGAAATCAAAACTTAATACTTCAAGCTAAAAATATGTGTATATCATGATACTGCTACTGAGCAAATAACGTGGATATTTGATATATGAATAAATATAGCATTTGTATCTTAATAATAAGATTGAAAATCATAATGTCTATTAGGCAAAAAAGTCAAATACATACACCAATAAACATCTGTTTCAAAATAGTTTGGTGTTTTATCAAGATAAACATATGGATGTATGTCTAAAATTGTGCACGGTTATAAACTAACACGAAACCAGTTCTATAATTCATAACCATGCCTGATTCAAAGCCGGGATGATGTACAGTACGTTTTTCCTAGAAGTACGATAACATAAATATGTTGATAGTATCAAAAAATATATTTATTCGTCGTCAGCCTTTTCTGGGGAAGTCTCGTTTTCGGTTTGTTCAGTTTGATCACCATTCTCGTCCGCTTTGTTACCTACTGGGCCCTCGTTTTCGATGTTGTTCGTTTCGCCTAAACATAATTGTTGTTAATTAGTCAACCACAAAGCGGCCAAGAAATTACTGTTTTTTAAGTAGATCAAAAGTAATTCCCTGTAGTTTTTTCATTTTTAGTAGGTACCTACTTTTTGACCATAAATAGTTGTATAACTGTAAATATTTCAGATAACACATCCAAAGCATCTATTCATGATCTTTCACAGCCTTTTAGATGGAATAAAGTGATCCCGCGTAAATTAAGTTAAAAAAGAAATATAGTTGTACTTCCTAAGAATAAAAAATGGTTGAACCTGATTCATTAAAAAATCATTTTTGAAATATTCATTTATTTCGCAACGAATTTAACCTCTTGACTTGAACCGTTTTCGTGTAAAAAATAAAAACCTAGTAGGCTTTGTTTTTAAAATAATGACATTTGTTGTTGTCTTATTTTGACAAGTATTCATAAACGTGATAGTTTTTTACATTGTGAAAGTTTCTTTGATCAATAATAAAGAAAAAAATAAGTAAACTATGCCAAGATTTACAAATTCCGAGTTAGTAGATATGCATTTTACGTACGGGCTTGCTGACGGGAATGTGCTTATGGCTAGGCGGATATATCAAAAGCTGTATCCAAATCGTATCATTCCCGATGCCAGAATGATGCTAGAATACACAGAAGACCGCATGAAACTGGCAGTGAGATCAACACTATTAGAGGAAGCTATTTTAAACACAATTGAGGAACATCCAGAAACAAGTACTAGGTAAATTGCAGTAATGCTTAATGTTTTCCAGTTTCTTATTTGGAAAATACTTTTGATAATTTACAAATTAACTATATCCCTATCATATTCAAAGGGTTCAAGTAACACTGCCACGTGATTTTCCACATAATAATCACGTATGGCCCGAAAAAGACCCATAAGCAATTACAGAGGCACATCATCAGGTCTGTCACAAAGTAAACGACTTTTGAAAGATCTCCGATACTGGCGTTAGCTAGGTATATCATTCATTGATGCCCTGTCAAAATTTCATGGCAATGCAACCACTTTACGCGAAGTTATCGCACTCAAATTGGCAGAATCTTTTTAGCATCGGGTATTGTGATTGTTTATCAAAAATGAACCAAAATCTTCATTGCGGTACATAGAAATGGAATTAAATATCTCTAAAGATTCAGTCCCATCGCATTTTGATCAAGAATTTGGGTATGAGAAAGGTGTGTCCACGGTTTTTTCCGCACAAGTTCACGGATGACCAAAAATTGCTTCGAGAGAAAAACCGTTTGGAAAAGTCCAAAGTGAAGACAATGTTGATGTTTCTACGATACGAAGGGAATTATTCACAAATAATTCGTTCCCCTGGGCCAAACGGTTACTGCTGTGTTTTATCTTGTGTTATGAGGCGTTTATTGTCGCGTAATCGTCGTGTTCAGCCAGAATATCGCGAAAAAGGAAGCTGGCGCTTGTTGCACGATAATGCACCATCTCATTGATCGACGCTTGTGTCCGATTTTTTGCCAAAAAATTGCATTGTAACTATCAACCACTTTCCATATTCTCCTCATACATCACCGTGTAACTATTTTCTGTTCGGTAAACTACATTTGGCCATGAAGGGACAGCGGTATGCCTACTTAGAGGCCAACCAAAAGGCGTCGACGATCATTTTCATCATTCGAAAACCTGTTGGTCCGTACAAATCGCTATATGAACTCTGGAGGAGATTATTTTGAGTAAAATAAATTCTATTTTCCGAAACAAAAAATGTTTTCTCATTTTTTTCTTTGTCCTGTTTACTTTGCGACAGACCTCGTATTGATCATGCAGCTACCTTCATCTTGCACATCCGCTGTATCTCCATTTTGTTCATTAGTCACCTTCCCATTTTCCTCAGATTTGACATCACCGTTTTTCATTGGCTCGTGTGCAATGGGCGCGTCGCTAGGTTCGAGTTTCAGAAATTTTTCCATTTCATCCACTTCGTTCGCCATATCAAACATGTCATAGTCCTGAAAAAGTTTTTATCGAATTGTATCCATGTTTCCTAGATTGGATTTAGAATGTCATATAAGTCGGTGGACAGTTGCTTTGCAACAAGGAAAATTTTGCCCAAATTCAAATCTCGATATTTTTGGAACTGAAAGATATATCGAATTGCGATATTAGAGGGTTCTTGGCCAACCTCTTGAGAACACGTAGAGGGTTCGATCGGTATATTTCTTTTATTTATCCACTTATACAGGGTGAGCAAAGGAAGTCATAGGTTTTAGCAAAGTTTGGGGCTATGCCAGATTCTTAATTTTTGAATACGGAAATTTTTCTATGCATCTTTTTGATCTTTGGATTATCCTAAGAAAACTGATATCTCAAATTTTTCGGAAGTTGGCGATAACTCAAATTATCGAATTTCTAACTTCCCGAAATAAATGTCTTTGGGCTCGACCAAGATTTTTTCATCCTAACTACCTACACCTCAAACATGCAATTGCTAAGTAAGAATAATATTGACTGTAGACTTAACAGTATAATTTTATTTTCTCAAAAATGCGTCGGCTTTTCAAAAAAGGGGAGAGAATTGTATAAGATTATTGAGAGAAGGTCGTTTAGTGAATGATGTAGTTTTAATTTATAATGTTGATCGGTCCTCAATATATCGTTTAAGGCGTAGATATCAGGGTACCGGGAAAAGGTCCTACTTGTATGGAGGAGCTAATCCAGTAGAATGCGAGGCCGCACCGAAAGACATTATTGCAGGAAGTAAGGCGAAGGAGGACCCTTTCATCCAGAACTTTAATATAAAACTTACTGCGACACAATGTAATAATAGCATCCACTCGTACTGTAAAAAGAACTTTCAATTATAATTTGTTAAGGTACGTAAACGTTATAAAAAAATTTGCTAGGTACTTTTTTAAAGTAGCATTTCTTCCAAAGCAAGGCATCGCGCAAGTGTGCCCGACTCTTGAATCGATATCAATCATAGAGTCGCCACGTACCAATGGGCATAGGAGCAGTGACAAGATTACATGTTTCCCGATGAAACACGCTTCAATCTATACCATTCTGATGGTACGGACCTTGTTTTGAGGCAAGCTGGGGAACGATATGATGAAGAAAACATTTCCCACAAGAGGCGTTTGGTAGAGGTGGCATTACTGTTTGGGCTTGGATCATGCACAATGGTAAAACTGAACTTTTTATTTTAAACAAAACAGTCAATGCTGCAGTTTATAGAAAAATCATTTTAAACAATATTTGCACAAGATTTTGTTTTCATCGATAATAACGTCAAGCTGCACAGAGCTCGTACGGTTATAAACTTTTTGGCAGAAAATAATGTTAAATTATTGCCTCTGCCATTAAAGTCCCCAGACCTAAACTAATTGAGCACGTGTGGTCTCGGCAGAAATTTTTAGTGCGGGCAAGACAAAATGCTCCTCAAACAATGGAAGAACTGTATGAGGCCATTCAGGAAGAGTAGGAAAATGTATCCCGAGAATTTATTAATAACCTTCTGGAAAGTATGCCACGAAGATACCAGGTTGTGATTGATGTGCAGGGTGGCCCTACAAGGTACTAACAATACTGTTTAAAGTAACTGTTGCTGTTTTGTAAAAATTTCGTTTTTGTCATAAATAAATAATTTACAGGGTTTGTCCGGAAAGTAATAGGATTGAGTCGATTTAAAAAAATTTATTGAGCCAATCGTTACAATTCTTTAAAAACTTTCAAAATAGGCTCCTTCTGCGTCGATGCAGTGCTGCCAGCGCGATTTCCAACCATTGAAGGCGTCACGGAAGGCATTCTCCGGAATAGCCTTGAGAGCCGCGGTGCATGCTGCTTGGATGCCCTCTGTCGTCTCAAAATGCTTGCCTTTCTTCGGCCTTTTCAGGCGAGGAAACAAAAAAAGTCCAGCGGGGCCACAACTGGGCTGTAGGGCGGCTGCGGAAGCGTTGGGATACCGGCCTTGGTCAGGTAGCTGTTCACAAGAAAGGCGGTGTGAGCCGGGGCGTTGTCGTGGTGCAACTTCCAGTCGGCTGCGATATCTTGTCGGACCCGACTGACCCTTCGTTTGAGTCTCCTGAGCACGTAAAACTTGGCGTTGACGGTTTGTCCAGGAGGAACAAATTCATGGTGGACGATGCCTTTGATGTCAAAAAAGACAATGAGCATCGTTTTCACATTGGATTTTCTCATTCTTCCTATTTTTTGCGAGGAGACGCCGTCGTGTGCCACTCGGAAGATTGCCTCTTTGTCTCGGGATCATACTCAAAGATCCACGACTGGTCACCTGTGATTACGTTATTCAAAAATTGGGAGTCACTTTCACACATGTTCAAATTCTCTTGTCCCACTTCCACTCGCCGCAATTTCTGGTCGTCAGTGAGCACTTTTGGGACGATCTTCGCGCACACCTTCCGCATGTTCAAATGCTGTGTCACAATGTCATGAACCACAGATTTTGGTAAATTTAACATCTGGGCAATTAAACGAATACTTAGTCGACGGTCTGAGTTCAAAACTTTGCGCACACGAGTCACATTATCGGTGTTTGTCGAAGTCGAAGGTCTTCCAGCACGATCTTCATCAGCGACCTCTTCCCGGCCCTCCAAAAAGGCCTGGTGCCACCGAAACACACCACTTCTTGCTAAAGCAACACCTGGGTAAGCCTACTTGATCATATCAAACGTCTCTGTCGCAGATTTACCAAGTTTCACATAGAATTTAATCGCGTACCTCTGCTCTAACGAACGCTGTATTTTCAGCTTGCACCACTCACAGAAACACGTCGCGCCAAAATGCCTGTCCTGACTCTCCAAGTGCTCGGAGACAACTGACCAGCCGCTCATTCGTTATCTAGGAACGCCCTCTACCGAATCCATCAGTCAGCGCGCGCACGCTCCGAAGTACAGTCATGGCGGAAGAAAATGAGTCCTATTACTTTCCGGACAAACCCTGTAGGTATTTAACTGGTCTTCAAATTTTTGTTTTGTAAAATGATACATATTGTTAATGTTGATCAATAAAGTCTTTGATGTTGTTTAAAAATGTATCTTATGGAAAACATCTCCAATGGAGACGCGTACGCCAATGCCGAATGAGAAAGATAAAAAATGCCAAATAAAAGATGAATAGCAGTATTGGCCAGCATCATAGCATTTTGCACTTCTGACTGGAATACACCCCTATATTAAGAGTAATAACTTGGAGTTGTTCATTGAGCTGTTTAATTTCATAGTAAAATTTATAAATTCGGTTTAAATTTGATAACGTTAAAGTAGCAAATTTTTACTGCACACCACTGGAGGAAATAACGTTCAATGATTGCTTCATTCTTTTCTCTGGCGCAAGGAATTCCACTTTATGAAACAGTATGCGAAAAAATACTCATTCTCAAGAGAAACCCCAAAAAAGTCCCTTTTTTAGGGATAAATGTAACTTTTTAAAATTCGACAATTTGAGTTATAGCCAACCTTCGAAAAAAATTGAGAAATTACTTCTTTTAAGATAGTCCAAAGATCAAAAAGATGCATAGAAAAATTTCCAAGATCAAAAATTGAGAATCTCTCAGCCCCAAAAACCTAACTTCCTTTGCTCACCTTGTATAAGATTTGAATTTCCATGTTGCAAAGCAACTGTCCACCAGTTATGTAGCAGAATTTAATAATTCTGCCTATCTATCAATTGTATAGCTATACAAGTTGTCCGAAAATTTAGTGGACATAGAAGTACCACATATTTCTAGACTCAAAATAAGTCGATTGAACATGATTTATCTCTGTGAAAAAGTGCTTCTTTTGTCCGTTAGAGAGCGACAAAGTTTTCTTTTTAAAACACATTTTTTACTTGAAACACCTGTTTTGCTAAACGTCCTAGTATTTGACTTTTACAAAAAAAACTCGAAGGGGTTGGAGAAGAGTGAAAACTACCCCCACTCCTACATAAATTATAGCAGAATTTTTTCGCAACTCTAGCAACGATTCTGAATTTTTTTATTTAAAAGATCCTTTTGTTTACTCCATTTTCGTCTCTTATAGAAACAGGCCAGACCAAAAGATTTTCTTATTACATGAAGCATTGAAATCTAGTAGGCAACTAGTTTGCGGAAATGTAGCATGTTATGTCAGTGTCAAATTAGCTTCAAGATACAGGGTAGTTATTTTAATTTTTTTTTATTATAATCTTAAAAACATTTTCTCAATTCTGCTGAAATTTAGTGGACATAGAAGTACCACATATTTCTAGACTCAAAATAAGTCGATTGAACATGATTTATCTCTATGGAAAAGTACTTCTTTTGTCCGTTAGAGAGCGGCAAAGTTTTCTTTTTTAAAACACATTTTTTACTTGAAACACCTGTTTTGCTAAACGTCCTAGTATTTGACTATTACAAAAAAAACTCGAAAGGGTTGGAGAAGAGTGAAAACTATCTCCACTCCTACATAAATTATAGCAGATTTTTTTCGCAACTCTCGCAACGATTCTGATTTTTTTTATTTCAAAGATCCTTTTGTTTACTCCATTTTCGTCTCTTATAGAAACAGGCCAGACCAAATGATTCTCTTATTACATGAAGTATTGAAATCTAGTAGGCAACTAGTTTGCGGAAATGTAGCATGTTATGTCAGTGTCAGATTAGCTTCAAGATACAGGGTAGTAAATTTAATTTTTTTTTTATTATAATCTTAAAAATATATACTTGATTCTGCTGAAATTTGGCAATATTTTTTTTGTATTTAGAGGCTAATTTAGTTCTAAATAGATTAAAATTATTAGGACCAGTGGCATCTTGGAGGGGCACCTTAGCAAATATTATTGGCAAAAAAATTTATGCCATTGCTTTTTTGTAACCTTAATATTTGTTGTTTGATTAAGCATCTAAAAATACAACTTCTTTGCCTCTTACATTTTTTCATATCTCGCTAGATTTTTGAAAAAAAAATAAAAACTGTTTTATTATTGCAGTGAAAGATCATCAAAGGGTGTAGATTTTCCGTTTTATAAAGCCTATAATTTGAAAAGTTCATAACTTAGATTTTTTTATATTTTCCTGATAACTATTATGACTTGACCTATTATTTGTTTGGCTTGACGTCAACTTCTGAGACATCCTGTATATTAAATGTTAGGTATTTGTTGCTACTTTCTCAGGGCATTCACTAACCATTTGAAATTACACCCATAATATGGGTTCCATTTAGATCAACACAAGCCAAAAACAATTAGGTCATTCCGCTAATGTAAAGCACTCCAGTAATGTGGTGCTTTTAGCTGGATAGCAGTAAAAATAGGATAGCTTTGGAGAGCAATTTCCACTTGGCTGTCAGATTTAATAGTTTGTTGATCAGATGGTAAATGTCAAAGCTATTCCAAGGGTACTGCTACTCAGCATAAAACTCTGGACTGCTTCATGTTAGGCCCATATCGTCAGTCGTCCCTACAATTGTAGGGCGCCTTTATGGCCTCCTTGATTGTCATAGTTTTCTACTTCTCCGTGTCAGCGCTCTATTTTGAGGTTATGTCACAAACATCTATTTGCATCAAATTGTTCTTGCTTTTGAGTTATATCATGTTTTATCAGCCTGAAATTTCCTACAGTTTAAAAAGAAAATATATCTTCACAATAGGAGAGCGCTGACGCTGACACGGTACAACTGTAATATAGAAATTTTTGAAGGAGAGAAAGGTTTATGACAAACAAGGAGGCCATAAACGCGCCCTACAATTGTAGGGACGACTGACGATAGGGGCCTTATTTACTGGGGTTAGTTGGCTCTGAAACAAATGAAATAGGGTCTAAAAACATGCAGATGTAGAGAAATTGTCATTTTCTTTTGTCTGTAGTTACAAAGTAAATAGCCTATTCAAATGAATTTTATGCTCTACTTACTCCACAGTATGCTTCATCATTGAATATTTGTGGTGGCAAGGGATGCCTAGGATTTGGATCTCCGATAGTTGCACCTAGAGCAGTAGAGTTGTTTTGCATAAAGTCTTTAGCTTCTTCAGCTCCAGGCTCCGCTATGTCAATTATCTCGTATTTGATGTTCTTGGAGTCCAGAATCATTATAACCCGCTGCTGGCGTTTTTTCACCTAGACAACGTAACAGGTGGATTATGATGCATGACAAAACAGTCTATAAATGAATAAAAAACTGAACTCACTTCCTTATTGCCGGATATACCGCTTATATAAACTTTGATAACCATATTTTGGTTATATGTGTGTGGATTTCCTAAACAAAAAATATAGAAAATAGGAAGATTGTTTTTGACTTTGACAGATCGAGTTGGCAGTATGGCAGTGGCGCCACACCTATTTTAGAATAAAGAAACCCACTGACCGGTACCTATATCATTTTTATTTTTATAGAAACGTTAAAGTTGGAAAAAATGCTGCTTTTCCAATTATACATGAATAAATTAATAATTATAAACGTACAAAATTGAAGGATTCACTTTATTTGAAATTAAAACCCATCTAAATCATTACTCATAATTGGGGGTATTTCAACTCATGCCTAGAAAGTATTTATTTGAAGAACATGGAAAACAATCTTATTACCACAGAAAATATAGATATGATAGATATTTTTTTTTGAAAATTGTGTAACCTGCTGGAATCAAACTGAGGGTATTGGAAAATGTGTCATTTATATAAGTTATCAATAGTGGCATTTACCATATTTTTTTAGATTAGAAGTAATCATAGTTTTTAGCACAAAATACACAGTGTGATTCACAATGAAACATCATACACAGGACCACATTTTAAGGGGGGTCTTCTATGTAACATTCTTTCCTCGAGGGCTTCATTAAAAAGATACGGGTTGTTGAAGTTTAAAAAAAATATATATTTTTTTTACACATATCTTCATAACCGTCAACAGGAATGAACTAAAATTTGGTATGTAGATTTACCTATGTATCGTCCACATTCAAAAGTCTTCACTTCAAATTAACGTGCACCAGTGGCAGAGATTCAGGGGATTAGTGGCATTATTTTTTCAAATAAAAATAGTACGCCACTGTTTTTTTCGAAACGAGCAATTTTTCGAATTTTACCTTCAATTTGCTAGAAATACTTACTCTTGTGTTTTTTCCTAGAGTGCATTGTTTTCGTAAAAATAAAAAAAAATAGGTAATCAAAGCTTTATTTTAATAAATGTTCAAAAAGAAAAAATAACGAAAACTGTATTTCCGAAAAATGTGTTGAATTTGGTGAAACGCATTATCTATTCTTTCTTGTAACTAATCAACAGTATTAATTTGTTCAGCATACACAAAAAGAAATCCATGGGGTTCAAATCAGGAGACCTCGTTGCTAACGGAACATCATCTAACACACTTTCTATGTAGAAAAGCTAAGTATGAGATTGTATTTAAACGTTGTGACAATACGTGCATGAACAGTTGGCCATTGAAAATGACGCAACAGACATTTCTAGAAAATCTGTGTTGAAAAACGAGTGGATTCTTACAGAACGGGAATTTTCTAACGACCAAATATGTTCATTATGAGAATTAAAGGTTCCACTCCTCGTAAAAAGTGATTCATCTGACTAGAAAACCAAATCAATAAAATCTGCATTTTGATTATGCATTTGCAGTAACCACTCACAAAAATTTCGACGTTGCACTTCGTCGCCGGGTTGCGACATTGCACATTTTGCCGATGGTAAGGATGTAAAACTTCCCGATTTAAAATTCTCCACACAAGACTTTGGGAACATGGTAACTGGGCTGCAATCCGCCTAGTACTGATACTAGGATCATCCAAAGTCAAATTAATCACCCGCAATTCCTCTTAAACAGTATGCTGAACACCATGGCCGGGAAGTTTAGCAATTCCATATTGCCGAAGTCTTAGAAATGAACGCGTAAAGACCTTTCGGGTAGGTTGGCATTCCCATTACAGAACCCGTACACAAAAATAATATCGATGTAAATTTCTAAATTCCATTTCATAACACTCCAAAATGAAAAAAGAAACTATATTGACTTGACTTTTACAAAAAAAAAGTGGTAGTAGTAACGATAACAACCGTATAACACATAACTTTGACAAACTATCTCGCAAGAAACGTCAAGTTGGTATCAAGGCCTCCTATTTTATTTTGAATCTAATTGTATCTCGGCTCTTCATGAATGATCTAATGTGTTTTATTTTATTTTTACGAAAACAGTGCACTCTAGGGAAAACACAAGAGAAATTACTTGTAGCAAATTGTAGGTAAGAAGTGGCGTACTATTTTTATTTGGAAAAATAGTGCCACTAATCCCCTGTATCTCCGCTAATGGTGCACGTTAATTTTAAGAAAAAGCTTTTGAATTTGGACAATACTTAGGTAAATCCACATACCACATTTTAGTTTATTCCAGTTGACGTTTGACGATATTAAAAAAATTTGATTTTTATTTTTTCTTCAAAACCCCGTATCTTTTTAATGAAGCCCTCGAGAGAAAAATGTTACATAGAAAACCCTTAAAATGCGATTCTGTGTATGATGTTTCATTGTTGGTCACGACTTGTGAATCACCCTGTATATAATGACATTTTTCGCAAAACCTTTACATTCTGCTTTTATTCTATTATCAATGTTATGGAAATGTGATTAGATGTTCCTGTATTATAATTCTTATGAAAAATCTGGCAACTCTGGTAACCTTGCAGACAGTGTATATATTTTGTGCATGCAGACGTTAACTATTTCTTTTTTGAAAAAAAATGTTTTCTTTTAACAATTTTTCAATGCAGGTGCTGCAGAAGACCGTCACCAGGAATTAGAATATTTTGATCATAAATATTATTGATATGTTCATACAATATAAAAATATATCCTCAAGTATAGATTTTTTCACTGTTCACAAAATGTCAAATAACTGTAGGATAGGTATATGAATGACTTTATAATGGCATGTGTTATTGCTGATTTAACAGATAAGTAACTACTTATTTGTCAAAACAGCAAAAATATGTTAACACATGTTTGCAACAGTCTCAGATTTATGCATAGAGCCAAAAACGTCGTATGCGACGTTTGTGCACAATCTGGCAACCATGTGGCATCCAGAAAAAATGGCTCTTGACACTGACATAAATCAATCGTGTTGCCCCATGGATAGCACTTCTTCAGTGTTATATTTGTGGTGTATGGTGGTATATGTTTTGTAGTTTTCTGTGTGTCTTGGCGTAATACTAGGGTTACTTGTTCTTCCCAATTTTCAACTTTAAACATTTCAATTTTTTAGGAACTCGTGATTTAATTAGTAATAGTTTAATTGCTTGGATTATATGCGAGAATACGCGTAAATATGTGTGAGCCAGGCTTTCACCGGTGCTCGGAATCGCGTTTATACCCAACAAGAACTGCTGCTGATGAAGATGTCTAAACAAACCAATCGCAAGATTACTGTGAGCTTGACCACTACTAAGAGCAAGTCGCGGCCCAGCGTTTTTGAGCGACTCGGCACGAAGGTAATAAGGAATTAAATCCACTCTCACAGTAGTAAACTTGCCACTCATTCAGAATATACAGACGTTAGGCCAAACTAGAATTCAGGAGCAAGAGAAGACTTGTTGGTGCATTCACAAGTGAAGTCCCAAAGTTTGCTTTGCCCCAAGGCCTCCTCAATCATATTTTAAGTTCTGGCATACCTATTGTTTTATGTGCATATAACTAACTGTCTTTGTAGAGGCTCATGTTTTTGAAACTTTTTTCCAACCTTGGATTATTATGGATTACAATGATTCAAAATATATCCAATCATATTCATTGGTAGCCTCCAGCTTAGAATGTGTTAGTTGTCATGTTTGCTCCATTATTATCTAGTAATGTTTTCTACTGGTATGCATGTATGGTATACAAAAATATTCAGGCAGCTCAAAAGTTGAGAGACAAGCAATATCAAAAATGTATACAGTGAAATCTCCTCTGGATAGACACCAACAGAACTGACTAAAAGTATCCACTCAAGAGGGGTGTCTGTATGAATGAAATACAACAGAAATTGTGTTTTTAATGAAAACCAGATATATTAAAGATACTGGGACATTTAAAACTTATGTGTATAAATGCTATCAAAATAAACAAAAAAATTTAAACTCTAAAAAAAAAATTATGTTACCATTAGATATATACAAAGTATGTATAATATAATATGTATGTACATACATACATACATGTAGTAACACAAAACAATAAATAAAAAGTCACTTTACAGACTAAAAAATTTATATAATGTCTCCTCCTTTTCTTTAAAATGGCATCTTGAAATCGTATTTCAAATTTAGAAAAAAGCTCAAAAGACTCGGTTTAGACAAAATTTTTGAGTTGCTTGGTCAGGGTAATAGCTTTACCATAATTTGGAATAGTTTCTGTTGGTACTGGAACCTCATTGACATCAGAGTCTTCTGAAAGTTCTTGTATTTCAACTGGATTTTCAATTTCTTGGTTGGAATCTGGATCTTCAACATACAAACTTTCATCTAGGTTCAAAAAATCAGGTACATTCTTATTTTTGAGGATATCAGAAAGTATATGCTATAAACCAGCTATATGTCAATTTTGGTACCATCACCTGTCAAAAAGAGTCTTATTTCATTCAACTTACTGTTCGACATTCATTTCTTTAGAAGGATCTCTATGTTCAATTGTGCAGCTTGTGCTTTTCCAATATTAAAATGCTTGGATAAGTTCCTTACACTTAACTTCTCCTTATCGTGATCTTCAACAATCTCTATTTTTGTTTAAGCCTCAGAATTTTTGTATTTGGAGCCATTTCTACAGCGAATGTGTTGCCCACTGTGTCTTTTCCACATACTGAATGGAAATTTATTCGAAACGGTGTATCCAAAGAATAAGAATGGTATATCGCCGACCAACCCGGGCAAGTCCCTAATTCACGCCAGGCAAAAATGCACCACATAGGCTGCGTTTGTACCGAAAGATTAAAGTCGGCGAATCCCCGGTTTATTCGAGAAAGTCCCAGTGTAACGATTAAGAAATGCAATAGTGATATTCTCAATAGAAAAAAAAATATAAGGGGTTTCTTTATGTTTTGTTTTTTTTTTTTGGCCAATTAGGAGAACATTTTATGAGAAATTATATGAGAGTCGGTCGGGACCATTTAAACTGAGTTACCCTTAAAATCTAATATTTTACTTGCAGGAGATTTCAATATCAATTATAAAGAGAATAATTGTGATGCTATGGCTATAAAACAACTTTTTTTTTTTAATTTGAATAAGCAGGTTTGAAATAACATCCATGAGTCTCAATCATCATTCACTAAAATGGATTATATATGTACATTATTATTATATTATTTCTAACACTATACAGGGTGTTTCAGAACTAAGGGATCAAACTTCTAAGGGTTATTCAGTGTAACAGTAGAAAACATTTGAGTATAGGGACCCATATCCGGAAAAGTGTCACTATGGATGACGATGAATTGCCTAAATAGGATTTAATGCATTTAATTTTTGCCTTTTGTACATGATATCATCACAACAATTGTTCAAAATGTCTTCCTCCAACGTGAATACACCGTTTTAAACGTCGCACATGATTTCGGCGGACTTGACTAAAAATTTGATACTCGTTTTGAATGATTTCAAATGCTGCTGTAATTCGTCCAAGTAAGTCTTGTTCTGTTTCTACTGGAGTTTCGTAAACCAAAGACTTTACAAGTCCCCACAGGAAAAAATCTAGCGACGTTAAATTGGGTGACCTAGGAGGCCAAGAAACTGCTCCACCTCTGGCAATCCAATGGTGCCCAAACCGCTGAGCCAAATACTCACTTACTTGTGCAGCAAAGTGAGCCGGCGCCCCATCATGCTGAAAACACATTTGCTGTCGAACGTTCAATGGAACATTGTCAAGAAGTTCTGAAAGAACTTTCTCCATGATACGCCGGTAAATAGGTCCTGTTAACCGTTCCGGTAGAAGGTATGGCCCAATCAAATAATCATCAACAATGCCTGCCCATACGTTGACAGACCAACGTTGCTAATGTTTTCTGGGAAAAATTGTTTGGGGATTTTCTTTGTCCCAAACGTGGCTATTCCTACTATTAAAGATACCGTTTCTTGTGAAAAAGGGTTCATCGATCCATAAAACATAGCGTAAAAAATTTGGTTGTGCAGCGATTTGATGAAGAAGCCATTGACAAAATTGAACTCTGGGATGATCATCGGCTGCAGTCAATCCTTGAACTTTCTGGAAGTGTTAAGGATTAAGGTGTTACTCGTGTTGCACCCGCCAGACGGGAGCGTTACTCGTATTCATATCCTCAGCAATGTGATGTGTGCTACTTGATGGTTCGTCGGTAACTCGCTGAAGGACCTCTTCTTCAAATTCGACCGTTCTTACGGTTCGAGCAACACCAGCATCATGTATGTTGGTTTTAAAGATGCCTGTCTCGAAGAGCCGCCGATGAATAGTAATAAACTTTTTGTATCCCGGATGCTGTCGTTCGGGATAACGTTCTTGATACAACCGCGCTGCTGATCGTGCATTGCAGCTTGATGCTCCGTATGCCAAAGCATATCCGCCAATTCTTGATTGGTAAAGTTTTCCATTAGCAACAATTAATTTTGTTAAATTCTTGCAAACTTCACAAATACGATAGCACGACTAAGGCGATATGGAATGCAGCTACAAAAAACAATCTCTGTTATCGTTTTTAAAGATAACAACACTCAAGCGCCTTAAAGCGCATTAAATCCTATTTAGGCAATTCATCGTCATCCATAGTGACACTTTTCCGGATATGGGTCCCTATACTCAAATCTTTTCTACTGTTACACTGAATAACCCCTACAAGTTTGATCCCATAGTTCTGAAACACCCTGTATTATGTACTGGATTGTCAGATAAGCTTTTTTTAGCAACAGTAAACAACTGTGGTTGCAAGAAACAGAAGAGATGTGAGCATACCAGACTTTTAAGTGGTCATGAGTCTACCAATTTGTATAGTAGATGCATCACAATAAAATGGAATGATTGCTTCTTTACATTTGTCAACATTTTATGATCAACTTTTAAAACTTTTTCTTGGAAGTTTTCCATACCTAAAAATTAGGTTAATAAAAATCTGAGGAATGAAGATGACATGTCAAAATTAGAGATCCTTACACTTTATGCAGAAATTTATAAAAAAATAAGTCTCAACAAGTACTATATGACATATCATGGAATATATAAACAAGTTTTAGTTTAGATAATAAGAATTATTATAAACAGAAACTAATACATGCAGGAAATGAAACCAGGGAAGTTTGGGAAGTGGTAAATGAATTAAGAGGCAAACAATCTATTTCCCCCAACATACCACATACATCCTGTTGCACTAAATGACTATTGCCGCACGATGGCAGAGAAACTAAGAAATCCTATACAAAATACTGATACTAATGTAAATCACATAAATATATATCATATACTCTTGCTTTATCCAACAGACATTGATAAACTACGATTTGTATCAAAATCCATCAAAAATAAAAAATCTTCATGTATTGACAAAACATTGAGTGTTATAAATTACCTTTCATATGATGCAATTCCTATGCTCACAAAACTTATAAAACATTTTCGGAAGTAATTACACAAGTGCATCAAAATTACCGATTATTTTTCATGAAACCGTGTTGTCTAAAAACGGCATAAGCGAATTCGTTTTTTTACTGACTACATGCTTGAATGGAAAATGATCAGGTTTATTAGATGTATGAGTATAATTGGGTAGAATATTTCACTAGTTAGAAGAGTAAAATTATGTGTTTGGGTATATACGAAAAAGGCAGTTAATAGAAGCAGGCCATGGAATACAACAAAAAAAAACCTAATCAAAACATAAATAATCCTAAAACTGTCAATAGTTGCCAATAGTTTCGCGTTACGGGGTTTACGGAAACCTTTGAATAAACAAAGTTCACATTATCCTCAACTTTAAAGATGAGGTATTTTTTTGTTATGGATATGTTCTCAGCCACAGTACCTCGCATTCTTAGTTGGCCACCTTGTACATAGGTATAAGTGTATGTATGTGTACGATAGAGAATAGATGACTATTTCCTTCAGTATGAAAACCTAGCTCAACGCTACCCACTATGACGAAATGCTTCAAGCATTACAGTGGTGGGATGTGTGTCGAACGACTGAGGGGTTTTAGTGAATATTCCATTTCTGGAGGATCTCACGCTTCGGGTAAGAAGAGCCCGGCAGGGCAATACTGTCGAGCTTTTTTGCCTGAAAGTGGCAGCAAGCTTTCCCTTGGCAAAAAAATTCCTCTGGGGATTGGACTAGTTGCCTTGTTAGATTTCCTAATACATCATTTTCTTTCAGGCGTGCTCTGTAGTCGCGGTGGCTAAGGACTATTGTCACCACTGGGCGCAGACGGGCAGTTGTCCGTACGGAAAGGGGTGCAAATACGCAGTCACTCATACCCTAACCAGCCCCTCTAAACAAAGGCAGGCAGCAGCCAAAGGAACATCCGTAATTGTCACATCAGGCGGGTCATCGAAACGAAGCGGTAGCACTAGCAGGTTAGTCTCGAATACAGTTCAAGAGATTTTGAAACCAGCCTTTTGTCTTACACTTGCATGCCATCCAAAAGATAAGCTGCCTTTTCATTACACATTTTCAACTATCCAATTTTAGGATTACCATACCTGTATTTATATATTAGGGTGGCCCAACCTACGAGGGCAAACACATTTTTGTCCGAATTGAGATACGCATACCCTCTGATTTTTTTTCAAGTTGACACTAACAAACTCAAAAAATAAACATTATTGCGATCGGGGACCCGATCGGTCAAATTTTGAATTGGAAAGTTAATAGGGAAGTTTTATTTTTACAGCCAAGATGTACCTGAATGTGTTCTTGTACGCATTGCAATCAAAATTGTTTTTGTTCCTCATCAGGAGTGATTAAGCCATGGAAGTCGTCCTGCATTATCTTGACTGCTCTTTCTGCCGTATCGTTAACTGCTCTGTGTTTGCATCTTATTCTTAGCGTGTTGAAAATAATTATTATGTGGCCATGAAGTTGCACGCTTGTCGAGGAAACTGTCATCAATTTTGAGTCAGCTTAACAAGGACTGGGTATTAATAGAAACAAAGTCATCGATATTTTTCTCTGAAATGAAAAAAACGAAGAATAGCTACCATCTAAATATACTGGTTTTGCCCGTCTTACCACAGACAGTCAACCATGGACAGATGTTTTTTTGCTTTTTAGCAACTCATCAGCATCGTCTATTATGTATCCATCGAAGAAAGAGACTAAACGTAAACATATTATCAAAAAGTATGCAAAATTATTGCAGGCATGTATACGGTCCAAACGTAAAGCTTGGAATTAATATATTTTTTTTAATTTAACTGTCATGAAAAAAAAAACAACTGTCTATTATTGTTTTTAGCAGAAGTGTTTTATCAAGAAATTATACTCGAAATGTGTCGTAAGGCGCATTTTTAAAGCAGGCTTTTAAAAAATGTCTTGACACATTAAAAAAAAAATTCCATATGCATATACCTTACCACCGCTTGAACAGGTACGTCAGTGTGCAAACAGTCAATTTAAATATTAGACTAGAATAGATAGATGGGGTAAAAAAAAGAATTTGAATACATAATAATGTATACTAAATAGTATACAATAATTTATTGCACAAACATTTTACCTCTGAAACCGAAAATACATATACATATTGGAAAATAAAAATCATTCTAGATCTGAGGCCGTGGAACTCCCACAGTCATCAAGATTTATGATTAAAATGGCAACGTGCGTATCGATCATACCGTCTAATTCCCACATTTTAGGTGCGAGCTTTTCTTTTACTTGCTGAATACATTTTTCCCACTGATTCGGAGTTATTCTTTGTATAGCATCATGAAAAATATTTTTAAGGTCAGAAAATTTAAAACTTTAATTTTCTGCTGCAACATATTTTTTTTAAGTCTGCCCAAATGAGCTCAATCGAATTAAGCTCACAATGGTAATGAGGCAATTTTAAAACAGTTTTATTTTGTTTTTTGGTCATAAAATACAGTTTTGTGTGAAAAAATGGAAGAAGAAAAGATTGAAGTTATTCTACAGCATAGGAGTGGCGTGAAATTTAATGTTTTTTTAACACAATTCGAAATAAAGAGAGCATCTGAAGGCAAGTGATTTTATTTAGAATTATGCATGCATATCTGAAAATTTCTTTGTTTTTTGATTTATAGTTCTTTTATTGATTCTCGGAGCGCAAATTCTCTTCCCCTGGATAACTTCTTCATCCGAATCATCACTCGAATCGCTTAACAAATGTGCCACGACGATACCAACTGCTGCATACATTGCCATAAATATTTTAAATGATACAGTGTTCAAATTGACAATTCACGATAAAATAAAGGTTAGGTTTTCTCATATGACAGCAACCTGAAGGCTACATAAAAATGCGTCTTTTTTTTAACCACCTTTCATCGGAACTGGTTGCTGACGTCAACACATCAGCTGTCGACCGTAAGTTCACCGGCACGGGTATTACGTATCTTGAAAAGTGACATTATGCCGATTGTTTTTGACATTATGCTGTTTTTTATATTATGTAGGTTTTTCTATAAGATGTTAACTAAGCACTTAGTTGTACGTGTTGCCTAAACGTAATGAGGCTTGTTATCAACCTTTGGCTCTGATGTGATGTAAAATCTGCTTCTGAGATGGCATTACTCGAGGTCTAAGCTGTAAGTTGTATGTGTTGATGATAATTACATTGGGTTCTTGTCTCAAATACACTTAATTGAGATTCAAAGCTAGAAATTAGTTGGGCATCCACTTTTTTCGTATCCATTCTGGAAATTACATATACAATTTTGCTGAATTTTAAAACCGAGATAGATAAGAAATAATTATATTCACTGTACACTGTTGAATTAAAAGTCATATACATGCTAACAGTAATTACACACAACGCGGGCCGGTGATGATTTCCCGTAATTCTCCTCAGTTTTTCGTAATTTATAACTTTGAACATAACCTCTCTCCAGAAAGCACAACATAAAAATAACCCGTCGGGCATAGCCAATAGATATACTTCATTGACAGCATATTCAATAATGATTTTCTCACACAGTAAATGTCACTGATTTTATTCACATGCAGACCAATACACATAATCCAGATGCGATCTTGCTATTCAACCAACTTTCTTCTCAGAGATAAAAACTACAGACAAGTGCCACTCGGCCTCACCAAACATGTGCAACCAATAATGCGTGTAGTTTAGTTGAGTGATTCCTCCTTAGATGGACGTTCACAACGATCCTAGTGAGCAAACGTGGAATGATTGCGCCCTACAAACTACTTAGTTTGCAAGATGACATCTTATAGTTTTTTTGACATTTTATAGGTTTTTTACATGATACCCCTGCGGATCCATCAGTGATGGAATGAACCGGTGAATTAAATAATATATCTATCATAGCCGATTACTTTGGTTCTAGGAACAGAAAACTTTATTTAAAACAGCGGAAATATTTCTAGGTCAAAAATTACATCCGAAAATATACATAGTTTTTCCCCAGAATGGAACAAAAAACGGTTATTTCAGCTCTTGTCTAGGCTAGACCCTCAAAGAGAACACATAATATATACACTGAAGAATGTACAGTCCTTCCATGGTGCTGAATATGTTTTCAATGAAAATAATAGCAACAGATGTGGAAAACATTAAAAAACATTATTTCTCCTATTAGCAGAAATACATTATCTAAAATGAAGTTCCACTATAGGGCAATGACAAATGAAAAAATAATAGCACATCGAATGAACACCTATATATCATAGAAAGATGCAAAAGTTCATCCTCTGCCAAAGAATGGCACTATATCTAGCTTGTCGGATCTTCGTCCAATTTCTATATTACCGGTGCTGTCTAAAGTTTTGGAAAAAATTATAAAATTTCAGTTCATGCTTCATACAGATGAATATGATTTGCTGCCTTCCTTTCAGTCAGGGTTTCGAAAGGGTTTTAGTTGCATAACAGCTCTTCTAGATGATACGGACGAAATTATCAGGGATATTGATAACGGCAATACAGCGGCTCTTGTATTGCTTGATTAAACAAACGCATTTGATACAATTAATCACCAGTGAATGTTTTCTATTTTAAAATACATGGGATGTTCCGTTAATGATATTAAACTATCCAAAAGTTATTTCTCGAAGAGGACGCAGTTTGTCATAACCTCTTCTGGGGTGTCTGTTTCCAAGCCTCAAGGCTCTATCTTGGGTCCATTACTTTTTTCGGTATACCCTGCAAGTATTACTAGTAGTTTGATATATTCAAAGCCTTTATATGCTGATGATACCGAGACAAAATTTTCGTTCTCTCATACAGATACAACTGCGGTTACATTATTAAATGAAGATCTTAGTAATTTGACAAATGAAAGCATATCACTTCAGTTATCTCTAAATCCAACCAAGTCAAATGTTTTATTATTCAGGAAACACAAAAACAGCGAGGCAGATTCATTCCATATTTCAATTAATAATAATGTTATTCCTCATACATCCGCTACTAGGAATTTAGGCTTGATTATGGATAGTGACCTGAGGTTTTCAAAGCATGTTGATAAGTGCATTGGCCGTGTTTATGGTCGGCTTAAAATGTTGTTTCCACATCGTCATATCTTTTCTACCGAACTTGAGGCTTTGGTTTGTGACACGCTTGTTCTGTCATTATTCAATTACTGCGACTCAGTTTATGGGCCTTGTATAACAAGGCATGATGTTGATCGTATACAGCGTGTCCAAAACTCTTGTCTTAGGTTTATTTTTTAGTAAAAAAATTTGATCATATTTCTTATAAGTTACCTGTAATAGGGTGGCTAAATATGAAAGCTAGGAGAAATCTGCACTCTGCAGTTTTGTTTCATAAAATTATTCTATATAAAACTCCGCCTTATTTATATAATAAGATTACATTTTGAAGTGATGTTCACAATATCAATGTTCGGTATCGGAAGCTGATTTCCCAACCACGTCATCGTACATCTATGTTCAACAGACGTTTTTCTCATTTTATCTACCACTTGTACAATCACGTCCCCACAAACCTTAAGTCTATGTCTGTGTCAGCTTTTAAAAGAAGTTACAGGAAATTTTTATGAGATGTGTGTTTAATTTATATTGTTCCTTTTCTTTTTATATTTTAAATGTTATTTTTTTATTAAATCTGTCTAAAATGATTTGACCTTTTTCGTTAAATTATATTTTTCATATACTTTCTTTATATTCATATATTTTTTTGACGTTTGTAATTATTTATTTATTATTAGTATTAACTTATATAACTTGGTTAAGAACTCCTCTGTTGTAATTTTGTTTGTTGGGCTAGTATTTTGATCAGCTCGTCTGTGTACTAGTCCCTTTTTTAGGAATTCATGTTGTTTCTCCATTTTTAATTTTTTTCTCTTTTTTTGCTCTGCAAATAAACGCTATTATTATTATTGTTATTATTATCAACGACATTGTAAAATCAATTATTGACGGGGATCAACACCAAAGTTCCATTAGATCAGATTATAATGCATCATTCAGCGAGTTTAGAACAATGAAGATTAATCGTTTCAAGAAGATTATATCAAAATTGAAATCAAATCAAAATAACTTTGGGATTTTGTCTAAAAGGGTGCTTATTAAAAGTTTTATAGCAAGCATATTAATCCTGATAAATTGCTGTTTAAAATATGGCGAATTTCCAACAAAACTGAAG